AAAACAGGCAATGAATGATTTTGAAATCTAGGCAAAGGCATTTGTGTTGATAATTGAAACAAGAACATTTTCCAGCACAAGACTGAAGAAACAAACAGAATGTACATCCTAGAGTTCAGCATCTCTCATCTCCCCTTCTTATGTGTGGTTCAACAATATCTCATTCTCACCCACGAAATGATCACGGCTGTGAAGCGGTACACTAGGCCACACCACAAGGTCACACAGGCTAGTAGAAGGGTAGTAACGACTCAGGCCCTCTGCAGTCTATTGTAAATGTTCAGGGGACACTTGGAGATACCAGCAACAGCTACATAGGAATTATAGAAGACCAGCAAGAGTTGAGAGGCTTAATTAAAAATCATAAATTCCTAAGCTAGTGGTAACTTTCTGTTCTCTGCTGTAAGAACTTTTATGACCATTTTCCACCTCAAGAAAATCTACCCATTTATTTCTCCTTTGTTTGTTTAGTGCATGGTGTATCTTTATGACAATAATCAAACATGTGGGTTGAGTCATACAGGCAAAATGGGGCTTCCCATCTTTTCATCATGTGACAAGGATGTCACAGGATGTATGACAAAACTGGAGTGACTTGCTTCCACTGCTTAGCTACTTGCCCATTATTTACTCAATCAAGGCTTCCTGTTCTTATCTTTCTTTTACTACTTTGAGACCAGGGACTATTCAACTAAAAATCTATCTGTAGATCACTTGAGAAAGTTAAAAATGCATACATGCCTAGGGTGTTGGTTCTGGTTTTGGATGCTTATATACCTATAATAGGATCTCTACAAAGTGCGAAGGACAGGAAGGAATCTGTTGATACTGTGAGGTTTTATGGTGACACATAGGAAATTCTGCCAGCTAACGTCTCAGGCTGGTTTTGTTCTGACACTAATTATGTACTTGCTTTCTCTAGCTTGTTGTTCATTGTGTAGATATTTTAAAAATCTCAGACCACTTTGAGGATATTTGTTTATGTTGTTCTGAACCTCTATTTGTTCTCTATAGATTTCTCACAATTTTAATCTCACTGCATGTGTAGGTAGGCATGTGGTTAAATGTAGACATTATGCACACTGAATTATTATAAGCAATTTGGTAAATAATGTTATTGGCAAGGCTAATTTTAGCCCTCTCAATTTCTAAAGTTCTTCAACTTGGAAAAATTATGAAGAGATAATTAGTGGAAACCAATAAGTTCCATTTGACTTCCACAGAGCTCCCTGAAAACAGTGTTTTGAGAGACAGCTTATATATTTATTTATTAGATCAAGATGTGTTTCCTGGAAGGAGGGATCAGTGTTCTTTTTATTTGAGCGCTTTCTAATAAAATGAGCAACAGATGAGTACACGCAACCATCTCACCATGTTGTGGAGTCCAATCTTTTGTTTCTGTTCTGGCACTGTTACTGGAACTCAGAGCTGTCCTTTTTCATTCGAGGCTCTGTGCTCTACTACTTGAGCCACACCTTTACTTCTGGCTTTTGGCTTGTTAATTGAACATAAGAGTTTCACAGACTTTTCTGCCTAGGCTGACTTTGAAACTTGATCCTCAGATCTCAGCCTCCTGAGTAGCTAGGATAAAAAGATGAGCCAGCAGCAGGCTACTTGTCTGTACTTTAAAAAGACAGTTTTATATTAGCATCTTTCTCCTAGCCTTCTACCACACAACAGTCCTATTTTGTACCTACCAGAACCCCATAAATGACATTAGAAAGAGGAATCCCTGTGTAAAGATAAACTCTTCCATTTCAAAACAACTATATCTGCACACACATATGGGTTTGTCCTTAGAGAACAAAGTCTAAAATAATGAATATAGCAAGTATTATAGTCTGTAAATATGCAAAATGCTATTTAATCCCAACAGTGTTGGATTAAATTATTGCCTAGATTTAAGATGAAAAGCTAGTATACATACAATTATATAATATTATAGTACATATTAAATTATATATTATACTAAATTTTATAAGCTTTCAATTTGTCCATAATACCTTTCTCAGAACCAGAACAGTGAGTGACTTTGGGTCTGCTGTCCTAAGAGATGCTGTATGTGGTAGAATCCATAGAAGTAATACTAAAGTAGTAGTCAAAATAAAATGAGCTCACAGAATGTTAACAAAAATAGTTTTCAGCCCTTTGTACTGTTTTATGTTCAGAATAAAGTTATAAATCAAGACTATTATTTTCCTAATCTATGGATGAGCAAACACGGCATGACAGTGGATGCTGTGTCTTTGTCCCCTAAATCTACAATAAGAAAGTACCCTAAACTGATAGCTTACAAACAATACACACTGCTTCCTCACAGTTCCCGAGGCTGGACATCCAGGGTCAAGATACCAGTAGGTTTTGTGTCTAGTATGGATCTGCTTCTGGCTCCTGGATGGCAAATGAACACTCTCTTGGTGGACCAGTCAAACAAACTCACTCGAATATCCTATAGCAAGCGTGCTGTGTTTACAAAGCAGGATATCTCATTAATGATTTGCTTGTTTTGATATGTTTCCTCTATATCAAGCAGAATATAGCCTACTGGGAAATACCTTTGCTAAATTGGCATCTATTGTCATGGCTAAAAACTCAGCTGTGAACTCTTTTTTCAAAGTAAAGGAAAACAGTACATGGTTTCCACTGACAGCAAAAAGGGCCGTTTGCACTAGCTATGTGGATTATAAATTACGAATGATGAATTTATTGAGCATTAAGAATTATTATTGAGTTATTATAATGTATTATTCTTTTCCCCAAATGTGGCTGCCATGAGCTGCAATGTTTGTGCCTAGTCCTTCCAAAAGTATTAATAGATAGCTAGAAAGACAGACAGACAGATAGATGCATATACATATATACATACATACATACATACACACATACATAGATTCTAAGCCCTGGGGTGATTGTACTAGGTAGTGGGCCATGGGCAAGGTGTATGGACCAAGAGTGTGGAGCCTTTATGAGTGGGTCTTAGCACCCTTAGGCCCCAAGGAGCATGTCTGCCCTGCTGCTGTGTGAAGTCAGAAGAATACACCATCTGGGCATAGAAGGGAGTCCTCACTACACACTGAATACGCAGGCCTCAGGAACCGTGGAAAGCAAAAGTCTTGTTTGTGAGTGGCCCAGTCTGTAGTTTTGTTACAGCAGCTAGAACTGATTATGACAATAGCCATGAGCAATGATTTTTCTCTCAGCATAAGCCACCAAATTGTCAAACTCAGACCACAGTAGGTAGCAAGTCTAGACTATTGAAAGAGTATAAATTATCTTCATAGTATATACATATATATATATATATGTATATACTATGAAGATAAATATACATATAGGTTCTTTGCTTTCTTCTTGTTTTATCCTTTGGGGAGAAGAGGATCAATTGAATAAATAGGCCATCAACTTTTGTATTAGAACATAGAAAATGAGAAATAAACCATCAATTAGCAATCCATAACATGTTCATACATGTTAAAAATTGTGTATACCTAGAATACCTGTAATTAAAAGCAACAAGTTGGCTTTCAACATTTTAAAAAAAGGAAAAGAAAAAAAGAATATGCACCCCATGTTCCATGTACTAACAAAATATATGGGACTCAGATATATCAGATTTTTCTGGGGTTTGGGTTAAAAGAATGAAAGAATGGAAAATGTTAGCCACAGAACTATTAGGCAAACTTGTCTCTAGATTCATAAATACTTCCTTTTCTCCATTCACTCTATAAAAAAAGAGATAGGTTCTATATTTTAAGTTTTTACTAATCGCACCATCAAAATTCATTTTATTGAATTAAACACACCTCCTAAATCTCTCAATGTTTATAAATGCAGCATTTAGTTCATTGAATGCATTCACATTGTTATCTTTCAGAGCATCATACTAAGATGTTATTAGCATATTAGCATATTTATAATCCTGTGAGAACCTAGGTGTTATATCATTGCTAAGCCTTATGGAACATTTATGGACATGTTTTATGATTTGCTAATGTGTGCTGTGAACCCATCAGTCTGTTTGCAGTGGGGAGGAAGTGAATGGGAGGATGGAGGGAGGGAAGAAGGGAAAGTACTTTGTTTGATGTGTCTATGGTGGAGGATGGGAAAGGAGGGGGGAGAGGGAGGGTTTAATCATGACACATGACCTCAGGTGTACTTAAAGGAGTCAATTTGGGAGGACTTAGTAGTGAGTGTGTGTGTTGAGCATGCTTAGAATTCTGGGTTTCATTCCCAGGACCACACACATAAATAAAAGACTCAGTTTTAACCCTTTTATGAAATGTCAGCTGCAATAAATAGATGCTACTTGTATGCAGTTATTCAATGATTATATGTTTCTTTTCTTTCTTTCATTTTTCATTTCATATTTTTTCACAGGGGAAATCTCTGACATCCAAGAGGTTAACAAGTCTTGTTCAGTCTTACTAAATGGATAACCTTGTAGCATGGAAGGAGACTGATGTCATCAACCATACTTTGTAGCTCATTCTTGTTACCTGGAGCAGAGGATGTTAGACCAAGATGTTGCATGAAGGAAGGAGCTAATTGTTCCCTTTTGTGTGCACATGACAACGGCATTCCGTCTGCAAGGAACTCCGCCATCTCCATTTCCCACTGTTGTCTGCTCTCTTCTGCCTTCTACTAAGCTGGACTTGGGTCTTTTCCTTTTTAATAAGTTCAAGTGAAATAAAACTTTTATTTCTCCTTTTCTCTATTTCTCTTAAAGCTTCTGCTAAGACACACAGTTCATTGAAAATTCAGTCACAAACTGGAAGAATTGTTAAAGAAAAACAAGTATATTATCAATAAGTATACACAATGGCTTCACATGTATTAAACAATAAATTAGCACAGAAAGGTTCATTTCACCTATGTATTTAGTCTAAAGCCAGTTGTGTCTCTCTTGTCTATGTTCTTAGTTAATGTTTCTTGCATTTATTTTTATACCATATTTAAATATGAAACACCCTTTACTCCAAATGTATTAAAGTTGACCCCTTCTCTGTAAATTTGTGTATGTTTATATTGTTTTATCTTTCATTAAAAGATGCAGAATCTCATGGCCCTTGTAACTTTTGTCTTAGGTACTAACTAAAAGATAATGAGAAAGAACTAGAGTTGCAATTTAGGCTCTCACTTCAAAATGTAGCTCAGGTTTCAGGTCAGAGTTCAAAAGTCTAGGTCCAAATTCCCATGATTCTGAATGACATGTCTTGCCATTCGCCTCTAGATACCAAAGAGAGACACATGGTGATGGGCAGAGAAAGAAGATTTTATTTTTGACATAGGTATGTTACTAGAAGACAGACTTCACATCATTTTCGGCCATCTTTAGTCATAGATACATTTTTCGGCCATCTTTAGGTATAGACACATGCTTTCTTTTCAAATAAACAAGGACTTGCTAAAGGGATCTGTATAAACAGCCCCAGTCACAGGAGTGGTCCTATAGCCAGAAGTAGCAAGAAGTGGTCTGTTAGCCCATGGTCTCCCATTTAGGTTAGATAAGGCCTAAACCCTACCTGACCAAGGTCCTTGAGGACCTCCATTCTTCCAGACAAGATGTTTTTGCCCTTACCACTTGAGATGAACAGCTGGGCTCTCCTGAGATGATTCCTCCTGCTGCAGGTTGTTGGTGATTGCTCAAGCTGCAGGTCATGACCTAGCTTCAGGGACAATCTGTTCTATGAGGCTCACTGTTGCTGAGGGTTGTTTGAGCCACTCATATAAACATACTATTTAGTCAGTACTATCCTTCCTGTGTTACAAGGTGAATGGCTAAGACAAAGGTCGACACAAAATGGAGGCAGACACGCCAAGCTTTTCTCTAGCTTTTAGTCAATTTGTACTCCCAAGTAAGAAGTCAATACTTTTTCCAATAAAAGCAGTTTAAGTACCTGTTATAATAGCATAGCAGTCCAAACTGAGAGGCTGAAAGTATTTCACTTGGGGCTAACCAAGGACAAGGTAAACTCTTCCCACTGAAGAACACTATAAATTTTGAGAGCCATGGGAGGGAGATGCTCTGTCCTGTGATGAATTTCCCATGGATGTTGAGGTGGGAATTGGCCCGGAGAGTGACTTTCCAAGTTTTTCTTTCTTTCTTTTTGTCTGTCATGGGGCTGGAACTCTGGGCCTGGGCGCTGTCCCTCAGCTCTTCAGCTCAAGTCTAGTGCTCTATCACTTGAACCACAGCGCCCCTTCCAGTTTTCTTTTTTCTTTCTTTGTTTTTCTTTTCAGGTCTTCACTTGGGAGGTCTTTTTCTTTTTCTTTTTTTTAAAAATTTATTTATTTTTATTGTGAGAATACCGTACAGAAGAGTTACAATTACATGGGCAAGATAACAAGTACATTTCTTATCAAGCATTGTTGCCTCCTCATTGTTTCCCCTTCCCATCCCTTCCCATACTCCTCCCCTCCCCCCACCCCCCACCAAAATTGTTAAGTTCATTTTTCTACATAACGACTTGTACATCTCATTCTTGCAATGGGTCTGCCTGTATCCCTAGTTAAACGATTTGTTTTTTTCCCTTCCCCTCCACAAATTATACCAACATCAAATACAGTGAAAGTATGGGTTATACTGTGGGGGAGGGACATACAAAACAACATAGAAATCATCTTAAATAAGACAGAAACAATTGCATGAAAGGAAAAAAAAAGAAAACATTTGAATACTTATCTTGGGGTTCATTCCACTAACATCAACTTATCTGGCCTTTTCTGATTGACTCAGACATATACTAGATATTGCAAATAAGGGAAACCATGGGATCTATGTTTCTTTGGGCCTGGCTTACTTCACTTAATATAATTTTTTTCCAAGTCTTTCCATTTCCTAACAATTGGGGCAATGTCATTCTTTCTGATGGAGGCACAGTTTTCTGGTGGTTTATTATAGATAAGAGTTGCCCAGGCTGGCTTTGAACCAAGATCCTCAGATTTTAGCCTCCTGAGTAGCTAGGATTATAGATGTTAGCCACTGGTGCCTAGCTTGATTTTTTTTCTTTAAAGCACAATTCTCAATATTTTTAAAGTCCTTGGTTTTAGCTTTCTGATGGTTAAAGATTCCTTTGAGAGTAGGTTTACTCACTAGCATTTAGAAAGACCATACGAAGCACTGACCTGAGCTTGACATGTCTATATCATCTCTTATTTCATCTTCACAGCAGCCCTTCAAGTCATTTCTGCAATGTTGAAACTACTGAAGAAGACAGAGGTTAAGCAACGTGTTTGAAATCACATAGTCAGATGTAGGTTGAGAGCACAAGAGAGGAAATGCCTTCTACTCTTCTAGATTCTCAGCTGGTACTCAGTGACAAAAAATAGTTTGACAAGATAAAAAAATTCAGATTTCCTTAGTGGGAACTTCATGAGATATCTTCATGAGGAAATAAGGACCTGAACAAAATAGTTAAAGCTGAGTGTCTTTATGCTACATTTGGGCAAGAGTAGAGAGTTATAGAAAAGGAAGATACAGTTAGGGAAAATGAGTTAATCTAGCAAAGCCCAACTGCCAGAATTGCTCCAGCATATCCCCATCTTTAGAGATAAGGATGATTCTTTCCGCTAGGTTTGGTAGGCTACCTCTCACATTAGGATCTGGGGATGGATTTTGGGAACATCAAAGACTTTCCAACATCGGTTATTTCTTAGTTTCCCTCACTTCAACATATTCATTGTGCAAAACATCCTATCTTGGAATTTGTATGTTCAGAATTCCCACTGGCATCAGGCGCCAGTGGTTCACGCCTGTATTTGTAGGTACTCAGGATACTGAGATCCAAAGATGATGGTTCAAAGCCAGCCCGTGCAGGGAAGTCTGCGAGACACTTATCTCCATTTAACCACCAAAACAAAATGAAGTGGAGCTATGGCTAAAAAAATAAAAGCCCACGGATAGCACGTAGGCTTTAAGTTCAAGTCCTAGCACTGGTGAGCATGCTTGAATGCACGCATATTGTGCGCAAGCGCATGCGCCCCTACTCCCGCCCCTCCCACATACAAATCTGACTACAGGGTCTACTGTAATTTCCATTTCTTTTGTAAAAAGTTAAGGGGAAATCCACAAATGTTCTCACAGAGGAAATATTGTGTTAAATGTCAGGCTATTCACATTAGCCTCCTGGACTTACATAATAAACACGATTCACTTTAAGGTTTGGATTAGACACACGAATGGTTGTGTACCAGGAGACGGGCTACACCTATTTACTTGGAAAAAAAAAAGGATCCAGTTATTAAAGCCTACAATTACTGTATATAAAAGTAAATTCTGAAATAATGCCAACATTATAAAGAAGTCAGCATTGGAGTTTCCTAGCTAGTTAAGAGGAATATCAGAAAATGGAAGAGTATTGGTAACAGAAAATGCTATATAGATTACCATCTAAAGGAAAAATTAAGTAAATGTCTATTACAGATATTGTTAAAGAATATGTAAAATACCAATTAAGTTAATTGACATTCTCCTTTAAAAATATAAATTAGGATAATCTGAGCCAGACTACACCAAAGCTATATTGAAGCTGTAGTTAATCAATACATTCTTTGAAGGAAATCAGTGACCCAATTAGAATATATTGTGCAACCAATGTCCCCTGTACACACGATTGGTTATTTCAGCAGCTCGCATTCACAGAGTGTCAGTCCTTCCAAGACAATCATATCTCCAATTCTAAGTACTATATTCGTGCTGAAAAGAAAGGCAGAAGGCTGCAGTCTCACATAAGAAATATCTAGAAAAAGGACACCTAGGTTTCTGGGTTCCAATTCATAAAGCTTTAGGTAGCCTAATGACATATTTCATTAGGTCCTAAAAGACCTTCCTGAGTGAGGCACATATACAAATTTTGGAACTCCTTTCAGCTAACTCCAATAAGCCATTGTCAATTGTTTTCTATCCCACCAAAAGACCATATGATCTATGAGGCACAAAATAAAAGCCAAGGTTCAGTGGAATAGCATGGCTCACATGAAGCATTTTCTTTTCTGCGGACCATATTAACAGGTATTTTCCAATGACCCACACTTTCTTCAATCACATTTTAATTTACTTCGTTCTTTAAACTGTATTGACCCAATTCTGACATCTGCAATGTTATAAGAATATTTTCTGTAGACCTGCAAAACAATTTCTGCCTACATCAAAACAACAGGAAATTGGCCATCAACCTTACATAAGGTATCTGCTGACAGGTGTCAGGAAAATAAATGAAGTCAGAAAATCACCTTTGTTATGACAAGTACCTGACTTGACCTTGCTGCTCAGGAGCCACAGTTGTGTCTCTGCTTCTCTCCATTGGATGTTCATTTCTCATTTTATGATGATTTTATGATGATTTATAAATAATTGTGCTCTAATAATAGAAACAGACGCTGTATTTTGTCATGAAGCAGTGCTGGTATGCTACCAGGTTGATTTATTACAAACATTTTGTCACCATATATATGAAGCGATTGAAAGTGCCTATTGAATTTCCAACAGTTCTACTGTTTCCTCTAGCTACCACTTTCATAGTTTAGCAATTTCTTAAACATCACTGGGAGACCCCCCCCCGCAAAGGAATCAGTTCATCCCTTGAGTCATTTTTAAATATGGTGCATGTCCTGAAGAGTTTAAAGAATGTAAATGATAGGGAACTAAACTCATGCATCAAATAGAGGTATCTCATACAGTGTTTGTATGATTGCATTTGCATCCTTTTTCTGAGAAGTTCATACTCCAGAACTCACTCATTCATATGTCGCATATGACTGGCCCTTTCAAAAAGCATAAGACTCTACTTGAACTAAAAAATGAAAAATGAGCTGGGTGTGGCTTAAGCGGATATGTGTTTGCCAGATAAGTGCAAGGCCCTGATCCCTGACTACAAAGTCCAGTGCTGTAAAAACAAAATTACACCAACTCACTGGGAATTGTTGCACTATGCACTCTTGTGATCCTAGAAGGCTGGGGCAATTGGATCACAGGTTCATGGTCAGCGAGAGCTGCATAGCAAGATCCATTGTCAAAAAGCCAAATCAAATCAACACAAAAAGTCACCAAATAATGTATCAAGCACAGCAGTTTGTTAGTTTAAAATTAGATTAAAATTAAAACTTGCATATGCCCTTGGATGTTCAGGGAAGCAGGAAAGTTTTCCTGGAGCTAAAATTTAATGTGTTTGTAACATCACTTTCAAAAAGGCCTTTAATAGTTTTGTAGACTTCAGTGCTTCTTGATTAATAAATTGATTCATAAATCTGAATGTCTTTATTAGGTTACAAGATCTTAATTATTTTATACTTGCTTGGAAATCTATTAAATTGGAGCATGCTCAATATTTTTTAAAGGTTAATAGCATCTAACTCCAGTATTGGTTGAACAGATTAAAATTATGTATGTAAGTCACAAAGCACAGAACATGATACATAATTAGTAAAAAATAATTATGTTTATCTTACCCTTTTAATTTTTCTCCAAAAATTTATCTTTGTAAAATAAGCATCCAGATTCCCTCTTCTAAGTGATTCAGGGATGAAACTTGGGAGAACAAACCTGAGTTAGGGTATCAGGGCACAAGTTATCTTGGGAAAGGCCAAGAGTATAGCCAGATATGATGGAGAATTAAGAACCAATCAAATATTGTGGGTAAAACATCATGATCAAAAGGGTGAACCAAAGAGTAATACTGAGTTAAGGCAAGAAGACTGTGTCTAGTAGACCTGGTTTCTGAAAACTGAAGCCTGGAAATAGACACAGGGACTTTCCTTGGGGAAATCTCTAGCTTCCCCAGTGCATAGGGTAAATAGCTGGGGTGCCAATATCCTCTTCAAGGACACACCCCCAATGACCTAACTGTGTGAGTTATCTTCATGCCAAACAAGAGTGCAAGGCCTTGAGGTAAACCTCCAGTACTGGCACAGAAATAAAAAGTAAAATACAATGCACTATGGGGGAAGAACCTATAAGAGAAACAAAAAAAATCACATAGTACATTTTAAATACGTTAAAAACAATAACAAGAAAGAAAAAAAAACACTGTGTCCCTATCTTGCGGTTCATTTCACTTAACATCATCTTATATGGTCACATGCACATAGCTTTTCACCTTTTCTGCTTGTCCTAGACTTATACTAGTTATTACAAATAATGTATAACTCCTCTTTTCAATCAAGCCACAGGAAAACCAAACACCACAAGCAAACCAGAGACTCCACAAAGAGAGTGGTTATGGACACAGGGGACCCTTCCCTCCCACCCCAAATTGAAGAACTCTTTTTTCTTACCTGTTTTTTTTTTTAATTAAAAAGTTTCTTTTTTTCGTCATTTTTATTTTATGTGTGTGTGTGTGTGTGTGTGTGTGTGTGCTTAACTTTTTTCTTTTTTGGTCTTTTTGGGCTATTTTTGCATGAATTAATTGCTGTTCTGCTCATTCCCAGATATATATCCATCTTCGATTATTAGACTTTCACCTTCATTGTGTGCACAGTTCATTTAGAAATTGATTACTCAATTCACACACTCTCACCATAATGCTTTTAATGTTATTTATATTAGCATTATTTCTTCATACATATATAATTTTTAAGTGTTTCATTTTAATTAATTAATTAATTTTATTTTTTTCTTTATCTCTCTCCTCCTTTCCTTCTATCCTTCTCCTCTCTCAGTGTCCTGCATTTTGTATATACATTTTTCTAATTTGGGGAGGGAAAGTGAAATAACAAAATGCTGAAACAGGTTGACCTATTGTAACAATGAGATGTACAAGATACTATGTTGAAAACAAAATTTACAACTAGGGGTGGGGGGAGTTGGGGAGGTGGAGAGGGAAGGAATGGTAGGAGAAAAACAAAGAAGGAGGTAACAATGCTCAATAGGAAAGGTACTCATTACTTCCTCATGTAACTGAAACCCCTCTGTACAGTATTTTTACAACAAAGACATATTAAAAAAGTAAATACCTGAATTATGGGTATTAAAACATAGACAGATGTAAAGATGAAAAATAACTTTCATGAATTGTTTTCTCATCAAATTAATATTTTTCTTGTTATCTGCACTCTGGGACCTTAGGAATCTATGCCATCTATCACATAAGATTTTCTTCCTCAACGTACCTCCGCTGGCCCACTGCTGTCCCAGAGGTCTCTCAGATGTTGCTTTTCTACTCTCCCACTGGCTTTTCTTTTTTAAATTTTTATTTTAATTTTATTGCAAAGGTGTCCAGAGGGCTTACAGTTATGTAAGTAAAGCAATGAGTCCATGTCTTGTCAAACATGGCTAACCACTTTCCCTTCCCCCAAGTTGTAAAGTTCACTTCCAACATAGTGTCTTATGGGTAATGTGTTGCATTGATTCAACGCTTCTCCTTTGTATCACCATTTTGTTTTTCTCCTTCTCTTCTCCATATCAGATAAATGTATATACAAAACAGGGTACCAACATTAAAAAAAAATAAACAGTAACATCAGGGGATAAACCAAAGGAAAGAAAAAATGGAAGAAAAAGAAATAAATTCACACAATACATTAAAAACAACACCAACACCAACAAAACCTCTTGTTTCCATATCTTGGAGTTCATTGCAGTTAGCATCACTTTATATCGTCATATGCACATAGTTATTGAGCTATTGTGATCTTTTGCTAGAATTATCCTAGATAGATACTAATTATTACAAATTACGGAAACCATGGAGCCTATGTTTCTTTAGCTTACTTCACATAATATGATTTTTTCCGTCTTTCCATTTCCTTATGAAAGGGGCAGTGCTATTCTTTCTGATACAAGCATAGAAATCCATTGTGTATCTATACCACATTTTCTTGATCCATTCATCTACTGAGGGGCATCTGGTTTGGTTCCATATCTTACCTATGGTAAGTAGTGCTACAGTGAACATAGTTGTGCTGGTGGCTTTAGAGTGGCCTTGTTTGTGTTCATTTGGGTAAATCCCCAGGAGTGGAATTCCTGGGTCATAGAGGAGGTCTATGTTTACCCTTTTGAGGAATATCCATATGGCTTTCCAAAGTCTGTCTTTAACTCTCTCCAAGGTCCTGCTCTATTTGGCCTTAATTAATAATATATCCTTTAATATTTTCAGGAGATATTGCAGTAAAGTCACAGAAGGAAAAAAAATTAGAGTTTTTTTTAGCTAGTTTTACATTCAAGACTCTCATGCCCACTGCCCAGCTTCCAGCCTCTGTACAATGAAGGAAAGATAGACTTTAAGAATGCCATTGACTAAGTGACTTTCTTGTTAGTTTTTATGGTGATAGATTTTGTTTTTAGATACACTCTTATTTCGCTGTCATCAGACCACTGTACAAGCTGTCTCTCATCACCACCTTGCCTCCTTTGGTCTACCTAGCTGTCCTAATTCCTCAGTGCTACCTGGAACATAGAAAGTGTGAATCAACCATTCCATGCCCTGGGTGTCAAGATGCATTTGCATTTTTTGTTTGTTTTTGGTTGTGGGGTCTGGGCACTGTCCCTGAGCTCTTCAGCTCAAGGTAAGTGCTCTACCACTTAGACACAGTGCCACTTGCAGTGCATTTGCAATTTTTATTACTCAGTTTTGAAAAGTTATCTTTGAACAAGACACATTATGCAGGAATAAATCACAAACTAGGTACTAAAATTGAGCTGTCTCAACATGACTGTTGGAACACTGCCCAAATCACAAAGACAGGAGAAATAGAAAAACCTGGATTTCTTTTTTGTAAGTTTTTTTTTTAATTGTGAAAATACTGTACAGAAGGGTTACAGTTACATGAGCAAGGTAATGTGTACATTTCTTAACAAGCATTGTTGCCTCCTCCTTTGTTTTTCCCCTACTATCCCTTCCCTCCCATCTCCACAACTACTACACTGTCCACCAGCCTAAATTGTAAAGTTCGTTTTCGACATAACGTCTTGTACATCTCATTGTTGCAATGGGTCCACCTGTATCCCTATTTAAACGATTTGTTTGTTCCCTTCCCCTCCTATGGCCATACCACCCTGAATGGCCTCATCTCTGAAAACCTGGATTCTAGGTCCTGAGTTGGAAGGGTAACAGCGGGAAAACCTTTCTATCTATTTGACAAATCTGACATCTAGTGGTTATCTGTGATTTCTACAGTAGCTAAATGAGAGTTCTAACCTTGGTCAAGCTGACTGCATCTGAAGTGTTAAGTGGATGTTGCAGGTCACCTGACTGTTGAGGTCAGTGGGGATAGGTTAAGAGATGAAGAATGGAAGGCATGAAAAACGCTCGCGTGCACATGTTTGTGTGTGTGTGTGTGTGTGTGTGTGTGTGTGTGTGTGTGTGACCTATTTACAATCTGATAAAATTAACTGCATCAGCCATATGAGTTCCACATAGTCATTTCACAAGGACAAGGTGACAGAGACGAATGAGCATAGCTTGTTCGCTAATAATAACCACAATGACATCTATTGTTAATGATCCTGTTCAGTGTGTCTTCTACTAAATGCTTCGATTATTCCTGTCTTCCAAATTCAGCATTGTGGTATTTATTTTATAGATGAAACTAAAGTTAACTGACTTGCTGAACTACTGTATTTTTATAAACAAAAGTTAGAAAAGCCAGACAACTATCCTAGATCCTTTACCTTGTTACTCGGTCAGAGTAGTCAGCAATACTTTAAAGGAACTAGAATGTAATTTCTAGGGATAATATGACTCCCTCAAATACAGTTGCCAGTTGACAATGAAAATGTCTATTTTGTTCCCACTATTGACTAGCTTGAAGGAGTGAGTAAAAACAGTTCGGTTGACAAATCAGTGTGGGTTCATGTATCCATAAGTTGGAAGCAAGTTGTGTTTGGTATATTGTTTCTTTTGTTTTTCTGTTTTTTTTTTTTTTCCATCATGCCTGTCCCAGGTCTTTATCTGATTAAATATTAATTTTAAAAAATTATCAAAAGTTAGGTATTGCATTAAGAAAAGAATCCATCTCCAAATGTGAATCATGAACCTTGACAGTGATTTAATCATTTTACTTTCTTTTTTAAAAATATCAGGTTGAAAGTAAAAATGTTTGCTCAATGTGAGCCTCAGCGATTACAATGACAAAAGACCTTTTTAAAAAAATAATCTAAATAGCATGATAAATTTTCATATAAAAGTAACATTTCAATTTTGTTCTTAATAAGGGTTTAATGCCTTTTATGAATTACTGGTTTAGCCTAAGTTTTAAAAAATGTATTAATGCATATGCCACAATCAAAAGTTGTTTTTTTTTCTTGTTTTGGTTGGTTGTGTTTCTTGAACTCTGGCCCTGGGTTCTGTCCCGGAGCTCTTCAGCTCAAGGCTAGCACTCTACCACTTGAATCATACTGCCACTTCCAGATTTCTGGTGGTTTATTGGGATAAGAGTCTCACAGACTATCTGGCCTTGGCTGTCTTTGAACCGCTATCCTCAGATCTCAGCCTCCAGAGTCGCTAGGATTACAGGCGTGGGCCACCAGCATCCACCTTCAGAGGTCATTTCTAAATCTGCGTGCTACAGTAGAATTCCCCTACTGGTAACCTTCCTCCTTATGCAACTTCTCATATGTCTTGATTCTTCTCTATTCAATTATCTTCCCAACACTGAAGTCTCCTTGTTCATACTACTGTAAGAAGCCACCTCTACTCTTTAAATGTATTTTCTTTCATAATGTTTTATTTTTTTCTATAGAATGCAGTAAGTGAAATAAAATTTGTTGATTATATAATTGTCTATTGTATTATCACATAATTGTTCATTGTATTGTTTTACAAGCATTTGTTACAATTGTTTGTAGACTTCTAGGATTCATAAGGCTAAAGAATTCTTCTCTCTCCCTCCTGTATCTCTGACCCCTAACCGTGTCTGACACTTGTTGAGTGCTCAACCAATATTTACCTAATAAATAATTGAGCCATAAGAAGTCTGTGACTCAATTCTTCAGTGAAACATGCATAAGACCAAATGTTACTATTGAAAATACAGTGGACTGAATTGGTCAGGATGTATCTTCTACAGAAGAGTATACTTTGAAGGGCTTATCTCAAAAGTTCATTGCCACAGACTTTTTGGAGAGGCAGGGTTCAGGATAGAACGTAGGGCCTCATATGTACAAAGCAAGGGCTCTACCCCTGAACTCTACCCCCCTACCACTGTTTTAACTGTTATGATGACAAACTCTTTTACTTTGGTAGGGATCTATAATACAATACCAATTTAATGGGACAACATATAAAATTCTAAATGAAAGTGTATCCCTGATTCCAGTGATTTTGCACACTGGTAGGGAAAACAGATTTAAGAACAAATTTATTTTAAGTTTATTTCACAAATATGCAGTGTTTGTTCCTGGGAGGGTAAAGCCTTCTGTTTTTTTATCAATATCATAAAGCTCTGATATGTTCCCGTTGTAAATCTTTATGATATTTTAATGTTGTAACTGTTGATGGTGAAATCATAAATGAATTGTCCTGACAAATGGTTAGGTCATCTCATTGTAACCTTTAGGACCAGGTTTCATGAGCTGATCAGAGGCTTGCTGGCAGAGAAGGCCATACTATCTGAGAATATCAGATGGTCAGCTATACAGAGAGAGACAGCAGAGATCACAAACAAAGGCAGGGTGTTTTGAATTTCTTATTCTTTCTATGTTTAAGAAAATAGGATGTGACGATGTATTTTTGTTAAATCATACACGAAAAATAAGGAGAAAACATTATGATGTAGAATCTTTGTTCTCCACATGATAAAAGTTTGTACTCTGTGAAAAATTATCATCTTCAATTCCATTTTCCTTGAGGATAGTGCTTTCAATTAAGAGGGAAGGAACTGAAACTTTAGGAAGTAATATTTCTAAAAATAAAAATACTAAACAATGTAGTTTGATGTAAACAAACCAAAGCAGATTTTTATTTCATTCCCAGAAACAGATTTGATCATATAACTGGGGTTATTAAATATCTTTCTTATATAAAGTCTATTATGTGGGAATTTTTCAAAGATTTGAAGAAATATAATTAGTATTCAATCCAGGCAAAATTAAGCTAGCATAATTTCACTTGGAAAAATTTGCTGAAGAAAATTTACAAGTTTTCTAAAAGCTAGAATCTGACAACATTTTAGTAAATTGGTAAGTATAAGCAGAGACATTCCACTGTCAAAACAGAAAAATACAAACATTTGATGTTTCTCTAAGAGAAAGAAGCATTAAATATGAAGAAGTGAGAGTAAACAAAATGATATCTTATTAATGATGGGAAAAATCTAACTGCTTTGTAAAAGATGCTGTGAGCAGTCACACATATTTTTGTTAACAGTTTAGGTTTTCCAATTCTAGTTTGCATAACAATAGACCTCAGCAAAGAAACAGATTCCCTGTCATAGAGTAAACAGGTTAAGTGTTCCTCTTCCTTAGCTATAATCCCTAAAAAAATATGCATTAGCAGAGAATTCCACAGGCCCACATTTACGTTGAAATGTGAAACATATCGTCAGGTGATCGCCTACATTTTACTGCCTCTCTTAAGAATGAATTCTAATAAGCTGGATATAGTGGTGTCTGCTTGTAATTCAACTACTTGAGAAGCTGGGGAAGAGGATCATGATTTGAAGCCAGTCTGGACTCCATACGAGACTTACTCAGAATAAAGAACACAAAAAAACAAAAGAATATACTTTTTTTATTTAATTTAGAAACACCTCTGAAATATTTACCATGATCTGGTGTTGCAAGTATATCGTTTCTTCATGGTCAGGTACTGAGAAAGTAAAGAAAATTTTAGCATAGCCTCGTTAAATTCTATATCCTCCCTCAAGTGAATTATTGGTATTCCTCAATTTCATTCTCCATGGACTTGCTTATGTCCAGCATTCCATAAATTTCAGCAGAAGCATTGGTCTCCTCTGAAATGATTATAAGCGTGTGTGTGTGTGTGTGTGTGTGTGTGTGTGTGTGTGTGTGTGTGTGTGTGCTGGTACTAGGGATTGATCTCATTCTTATTTGAGCTTTCACTTGGCTGGTTTGATCATGACTAACCTACCACTTGAGCCACATAAGCTTACTGGTTAATTGAAGATGGGTCAGCTTCAAACTGAATCCTCTGATCTCAGATTCCTCAGTATCTAGAATGACAGATGTGAGCCACCAGTGCCTGGCTGTGTAGTCCATTGCCCCTCATTAGATGAATGGATCAAGAAAATGTGGTATATATACACAATGGAATTCTAGGCCTCCATCAGAAAGAATGACATTGTCCCATTTGTTAGGAAATGGAAATACTTGGAAAAATTATATTAAGTAAGCCAAGCCCAAGAAACATAGGTCCCATGGTTTCCCTTATTTGCAATAACTAGTATATGTCTGAGTCAAGCAGACATGGTCAGATAAGTTGATGTTAGGTAAAATGAACCCCAAGATAAGGACTCAAATGTTTTTTTTCTTGCTTGCTATTGTTTCTAACATGTTTACAAGATGATTTCTTTGTTGCTTTGTATGTCCCTCCCCCATGGTATAACCCCTGTTTTCACTGTATTTGATGTTGGTATAACTTGTGAAGGGGAAGGGAAAAAAAAACAATTGTTTAAATAGGGATACAGGTGGACCCACTGCAACAATGAGATGTACAAGACGTTATGTTGAAAAATGAACTTTACAACTTTGGCGTTGGCGGGGGGGGGGGGGGGGGGGGGGGGGGGGGGGGGGGCGGGGGGGGGGCGGGGGGGGGCGGGGGGAGATGGGAAGGGATGGGAAGGGGAAACAAAGGAGGAGGCAACAATGCTTGATAAGAAATGCACTCATTACCTTGCTCATGTAATTTTCACAATAAAAATAAAAGGAAAAAGGAAAAAAAATTAATGCAGGCTAGAGACATGCTGGGTCCAATTTCCAGTATCATGACAAACGGTAACGGTGATGTTGGTGATGATGGCAGTGAAAGTAGTGATGATGAAAATGAAGAAAACGATGACGATGATGATGAACATGGTGATAATGACTATGGTTGTGGTGGTGGTGATGACTTTGACATTCATTGTGATGATGATTCTGATATAGACTGTGATGATGATGATTGCAATGATGACTTCATGAGGGTGAGGTGGAGCTGCACTTTGGTGTTGCATATCAGACTGGCAAACAAGCTGCCTCACATCAGCACCTTCAAGGAGTCACTCACTCATAGACTGTAAATGAAGATAACCTTATGAACCCTGACATGACTCCAGATATACTCAATAGTATTATGTGCTTCACAAACATACAATATTTTGTATTTTTAAGTTTACATATAATTGTACAGTTATATATATATACATATATCATATATATATATAACTTACCAAGACATAGTCATGAACTAAGGATTTTGTGCACTTACAGGATGGTCTATGTATGTAGCTATGTGCTGTTAGCTCCTAATTCTTATGGAAGGCAAAATGACTCTAACAAAACAATATTTTGATGAGTTAAGTGTAAATGAATCAGAAACATACGGATTAAATTTCCCTTAATGCACTTGGATTTAAAAATTAAGGGGAAAATGCTTGGCAAAGGCAATTTTGACTTTTCCAAACCCAAGCTTTGGGAAAATAGTTTGAAGATGTTCAATAAACCAACTGAGGAAAACACAGCCCACTTCCTTTCTCCCTTTATAGAATCTTTATTTGTTCACACACATGGTACCAGAAAAATCCATGGAGACATTTCAATTGGAGACAATGCCTGCTTCTAAACAAGGCTTTTCTGAGAAAAATCTCTTGTTTATTTATGACTTTGCCAGACATTTGCATTTATGGTGCATAATTAATTCGGGTAACTTTTGAAGAGATATCACTTTTCCTTAGTCCCCAAGAGACAAGGGTTATACTCTTCTGTGTGCTAGTGTCTCTACCTCATAAATATATTTCCAAAGGATTCTCAATGGAAAATACCTTCTCTTAATTTTCTCCAGATGTGGTTCTTAGTAGGGATGATTTTTCTGACTGAGTATCTCCTAAATCCTGCTGGGTAATTCTGCACATGGTTATGGTTAGTGCGAGCATGAGACATATCCCAGATGTGGAAGTAATCAAAGTGACCTACAGATCTAAGGCAATTCTCTGAGAGGACAAATGAGGGATATCAGGAGGCCAAAGCAATGAATGAGGGTCATTCTGGAAGGTCCAGGAGTTATGGGGTAGGAGAAAGATGAGAAAGAAGTAGGGACAAAGAATGGGACTTTGTCATATTTTAGGCTTATCT